ACCAAACAAATGCGAAGAACCTCCTTTTTTTCCTGTCCACTGTGGCAGGGACGCAAATCGCTGACAGATGGTGGAAAGGCCTTTCCAAGACGGTTGTATGGAGTCAACACAAAAGAACACCCTGAATTGGAAAAGTTTGTCTTGGGTTACTGTTGGCAAAAATCTTTGGGACCATTGACATCTCACCGTTTCTCGAAGAACTTTGCAAGGCCGTCAAAGCAATGAAGCGCTTCTGAGAAGAAGGAAAAAAAGTGCTGCATCCCAAAAAAACACGAACTTATGTCAAAAAACGAAGTAGTTTTGGAGATTTTCAAAACCCTATTTTTCACGTCAGCATGAGAAAAAATGACGTTTCGCTGTAGCGAAAACGACATTTTTGTTGATGAAAAACTCCTAAAACCATACGGCCGTCTATGGGTCGGGAACCATGTAGTTAAATATATATATATAGTTATATATATATGTGTTTGTATATATAGCTATATATATATAGTTACATATATATTTGTATATATATATATATAGCTATATATATACATAGTTATATATCTATATACATAGCTATATTTATAGTTATAAGTATTGTTATATATATATAGTTATATATAGCTATATATATAGTTGGTTATGTATAGTTTTATTTTTATGAATTTATATATATAGTTGTATGGTGAGTGCCAGAATTATAGAACGGAAGTTGAGGAGTACGAAGGCACGGTTATTTACCGTACCCTGTTGTTCCATAATTCTGTTTCCTCGGAAGGTATGAAAAAAAATATATCTTAAATTACTCCTAATTTTTCGTCGTTCGATAATTCTGGTTTGTTCTATAATTGTGTTTTCCCCCATTTTTCCCACATTTACCAGTTTCGTTCTATAATGTTTTTTCCGTTCTATAATGAATTTTGCGTAAACCGTTCTATAATTCTGGTTTCTGTGTCACTTTTTTTCCGGGGTCCCAGAAAGATACATAAAATGATGCAAATATATGCAAATAACCTCTTCCGGCATCCCAGAAAGATACATAAAAATGATGCAATAAATATCATGCCAGTGCCAAAAAATCATTAATTATAGAACAGGATCCGAATCTGCGCGGAATCGGGATCCGGAGGAGTACGAAGGTACGGTATTTTACCGTACTTTTGTACTCCTAATCTCGATCTATAATTCTGGCACTTACTGTATATCTATATAAATATATAGTTATATATATATATTTAGTTATACATATATATATATAGTTATATATATAATTATATATATATAGTTATATATATAATTATATATATAGTTATATATATATATAGTTCTATATATATATATACATATAGTTATATATAGATATAGTTATATATATAGTTCTATATATACTTATATTTATATATATAATGATATATAGTTGTATATATAATCATGTATATATAGTTGTATTTTTATAGTTACACATATATACTTTATAGGTGTATATATATATATTAAAATAATATATATACATAATTCATCATAATTCTACATAATATAGTTAACTACTGCTGCTTTCGAGCAGTGAAAACGCCAAAGACCTTAGCTGCTGCCGAATGCCCAACCTCTGCGCTCACGCATCACTTTTTGGCAGCTCGCCAAAGCCTTCAAATACAGCCCCGCGTGGCACATCCCATGCTGTGACCCTCGAAGTTCCATCGAATTTCCCTGGCAAAATCTTGACAAAACTGAAGGGACATGAAGGGACACATAAAGGATGGATACAGTATTGATTCTTGAGGTGTTCTCGCCATTTTACACTTTTCTAAATGGCCAATGTAATGGGGAAAAAACTCAATCATCACACAAATCCGGTGTATTGTGATATCCTCATTTCTGTTGATTAAATTCATCAATAAAGCACATTTCGGATCATTCTGGAATATGTTGGATAGTTAAATTCATTTAGATTCCAATGTTAATCCACACTTGATCATGAGACAGGACATCTTGAGAATGCTCATCATCGTGACCTATACCTGGTGAATTTTTGGAGGCTCAGCAGGGTATGCAGCCGAGAACAAGGAGACATAGACGTCCCAAACATCCCAGGTTTATCAGCACGGCGCGACGGAGTGCTTGCCCGATCCCCCTTGGAAATGGAAATGGGTGAAGGGTGAAACTGGCCTCCAGCTTGTGCCCTGGGCATTTTCTGGTGTGACTCTCCTTGAAACATGCTGGACGCCGCGCCATGCAGTTGATGCCTTGCTTCAAGCAAACGAGACCATGTCTCTATCCCACCAAGTCCAGGAAAAATTGAGATCCAGTAGGCCACATTTCGGAAGCCGATTTTGACCCATCGACCCATACCCAACTGAGAGGTTTCAAGCTTTACCCCGGTGCGATCAAACACAAAGCCCAAAGAAACTGGATTATCTGGATTTGGAAGAAGATGTTCCAATCCGAAATTGTGAAGATCGTGCATTTCGGTACCACATAAGGTACCACAGATACGGTAGAGCTGTCTGCCTCAGCCAGCCCCAAAAGGTGAATCCAGTTGTGTTGGATACGGCTCAGAATTGGGGTACCTTTGTGGACCCAGTATTGAACAATCCCAAAATGGTCAGAAAAATGAGCCACACCCTTCAATAAATAAGTACGGTACAGAACATAGTGACTGTGCTGGTTGTAATATATCTACACCATATGGCGATCCTCGCTCAAAATCTATGCCCGTTGGATCTCACTGGATGGTGCATTTCGGGCAACGCCACAACACTTGGCACTGAAAACAGTTCCTGGGCTCGCATCTTTCCTCTGTGAACAGGCAACTTCTTGCACCTTTGACTCCGCCATGATTTTCGACCACCAACCACAAGTCTCATCTTAGGATCTTCAGGACCCAGCAAGACCCAGCAATGTGGGAAGGCAAGGCTCCCACTCTGTGCATCTATACGCATCTCTACAGATATGGGGTCATATCGGTGTGTTTGAAAACATCGCGTACTCCCCAAATCATTCAAAATCACCATTTCAAGGTGAACATGTACGAGAACGAAAATATTGAGGATTCTCCAGCGAATTTTGGGGTATATCAACCCCATTTTTGAACAGACCCGATATCAATATCTCAAAGCACATGCGTCGAACGCGCCAAAACTGACTCTCTGAATGAGCATCTAGCGGTCACCCATGACGTACAGAAGGTCCTCTTGGCACCCGCAGGCCTGAAATCTGACACACCGCTTGGCTCAGATTCAATGGAATTACATCGTTGAGGATAATAAATAGTTTGTGTACTAGATAGTCCTTCGTTACTGGTAAATGTACGTACGTATGTAAACGCTGTATACATTACATAATGCGGCTCACAAGAAACCAGCATCATTGTGTTTTCGAGAACCAGCACACCCCCAGGTGCGCTGGTACGCGGTCATAGATTCCATGGTGGAGTTTTAAGGACATGGGAGGCTCTGGCTTGGAAATCCCCGAACTCAATGGAGGCTTGGATAAGTAAATCATCGAACTATAGCTGGGCCATTTTCCAGCAAGCCATGTGAAATTACCGGAGGGTAACAAATCTACATACTCTCATGAATCTCGGAATCTCATTTTCAGACTCGACCTCATGGGATGTTTGGCTAGCAAAAAATGGCTTTCCTGGCACGAAAATTGATCTCTCCCCTGCAACGATTGAGACTTGAAGAGACAATTACAACCTCTTCACAAAAAGCCTGGTCGTACAGTGATCAACCTAGTCGAAGAAGATGCCCCCAGTTTGGTCCACTTTGACACGTATAGGTTTTCTCGGAGTGCCCAACCCGCATCCAACACCAACTATCGATTTATCAATGGTTGGCCCGGAGCCCGGGCATTAAAAAATCGGCCGAGAGATCTCGGGCACATCAGAAGCATCGGCCGGTGGCAACCTTTCAAAGATGTGGGAGCGATGGAATGGATATATACTGCGATATTTACCAAGCAAAATGATCTAAAACTGGGGATGCAAAGCCAACAATGATCCAGCCACTTCCACAAACGCATCGCATCACAAATGTGGGGCTGTGGTGAACCTCAAACCCCCTCTGGTGAACCTCACACACCTCAACCCATGCTGCCTTTGATTGTGACAAAGGATATCTTATCATGCAACTGCTCCCAGCGGCGCCACTGATTCCAAGTGACGCCAATGCTGAAGCAAGCCACCAAAGTGGCAACCTGCAATGGGTCAAAACTACCCCATTGCGGGACGCTTTTCCAACCTCCAACCTGTTTTGTGGTCTTTCCCTCTGTGAAAATGGAGAATTGCGCAATGTAAGATGCAACTTGAGTTTTTTCTATTTCCCCGCAAAGCCTGGTGAAAAAAGACAAAAAGATCTGACGGCATGGCCAAAGATATGCCAGGTTTGCCATTCTCGATTTCTGCCAGGGAGAAAGGGGCTCCTGCCAAACATTCTCTCAAGAAAAAGTAATGCTCGAAGTCTGCAAAGGTCAAGATTGAAGACCTGCAAAGTTGGAGGCTAAATATAGGGTTGTTTCCTAAAATTAAGACCCCTCATCCAGAATCATCCAAAGTTTGGCTGTTAAACACATTGAAACAAGCATGGCTTGAGGTTGTACCCCTTTTTGGAAAGCTCAAGACATCTCCAGGTCATGATTGCTGGCTCCTCCATCTGTCTCGAAGATTCCATCTGCTGCTTGGTGTATGCCTTCCAAGTCGCCGGTCTATGACGTTGTGGTGGTATCCCCATGCGGCTTTGTCTACAAGTAGGCCACTTAGTGCTTCATGTGTTTCTCATTATTTCATGGTTAATCCTTGGAGCGCCTCCATGAAGGTTCCCAGATCACCGCAGTGACCAACAAGCTCATAGCACTTGTGATCCTGCGCAAAACCAGGCATACAGCACCAGAAAACTTAGGAAAATTGCCATCAAAACATGTTTCTTTTAAGGATTGGATTTTGGGGAGGTCCAAATTTTTCATTCTAGCCCTATATTTCTGGAATGCCAGCTTCTCTTTGCAGTCTACTTTTTTTTGGTTTTGCTGCTGGAAGCTCAACCAGAAGTTTGAGTGTGAAGGCACCTCGCCATTGCATCACTCTCATCAACCGGTCGTTCGGACCGTCATGATCCATCTTCCAAAGCACTGTCACATGTACGTCTTCTACTCGGCTGTATATGTGACAGGTGCAAACGCAAACAAAATTGAAATCATCGAAGCAAGGCGATTAATTGTCCAAATTTTTCATTCTAGCCCTATATTTCTGGAATGCCAGCTTCTCTTTGCAGTCTACTTTTTTTTGGTTTTGCTGCTGGAAGCTCAACCAGAAGTTTGAGTGTGAAGGCACCTCGCCATTGCATCACTCTCATCAACCGGTCGTTCGGACCGTCATGATCCATCTTCCAAAGCACTGTCACATGCACGTCTTCTACTCGGCTGTATATGTGACAGGTGCAAACGCAAACAAAATTGAAATCATCGAAGCAAGGCGATTAATTAGCTCCGCACACTACACCGTCTTAGCGCATATCTAGGACATGGCAATGTGACAGAGCAGAATTAGGCAAAGACTATACACATCTATACACTGTACCTTAGGACCGCAACATTCAACTTAGGACCGTTTTGTTGCGGTTTGGGCCAGCTTTTTTTGTCACGCCGGGACCGTTGTTGGTTTCCACCGCAGCAGTCGTCACACGGTCACCTGTTTTGGGAGGCCATAGTCATCATAGGCGGAATCTCCGTGATACTGGTCCAAGCCCACCTGGATCATGACCCTGGACGACCCCCTCCGGAAATTTAACATGGCAGCCATGGCCCGTTTATAGATCATTATTTGCCCATTAAAAACTGATGATTGTTCGATGGTTGTGATAAATGACCAGTAGGATCCCCATTCCCCATTTTTGGTTGGGTGAAACATGGTGAAATGATATTAGATGATGTTAAATGGCCAGTCTTTTGATGAAACTCCCATGAAACAGCTCGCTATGCTTCTTGCTGTTTCAGCTCCACCTTGTCAGCGATGGGCCGACTGATGCCATCCTTGGAATGCACCTCTTGGTACATATCATTTGCAATCTGAAGCGCCTCCTGAAGAAAGAAGGTCAGGGGATGGGGGTGGAGCTTCACCCAAAATGTGTCCAAAAAAAGGCACCAAGCATTCCACAAACTACCCTGTTGTACTGGTGGTTGAATCATGTTGAATCAAATATTGCTCATTTGCAAATTTCAAATGGTTCACCAGTTTGAAAGCTGCAACAAACATTGGGCCGGCTTCTGGTGCCAAGCCATTGAGTCCAGGTCTGGCCTGATGACTCTTTCCCGCCATGCGATGGTGGGAGTAGCGCAATTCGTGCACCAAGACTGGAAGCCAGTAGTCAAAGAAGGAGTCAATGACACCTTCGAGCTGTGTTTCACATTTATTTAAAATCCTAGAGCTCTTTCTGGTCTCACCCGATGACACTAAAATGTTACATACCAGGAAGACTTGGCCTTACAGTCCTTAGACGTCTAAACATCAAACACCAACAAAATTTGGATTAATTGTGGGATGATTGTATGCAATTCCGATTATATACCTATGACAATCAAACATGGTAATAGAAAATCCTCCATTTAGTTCGATGATGTTCCCATTAAAATGCCCAGTTCTAGTTCGGGGATTTCCCAGCCATGGAGCGGATGACACCAGATGCTGTCTGCTTTTGGCCCTTATCACCTACTAAAAAGACCGCTACCCGCATCCCACCAGCCACCTAAGCCTGTCAGGCTTGCCCGGCCCGCAGAAAGGGGCGATGCTGATGAAACTCCCCACATGGGATGCTCCCCGCCATCCACTTTCTCCGGTTGCGATGGCCCACCTCCCGACAGTCTTTTACAAAACTCAACAGCACCTGTTTTAAAATTATGAACTATGTATATATATATACATACATACATATATATATATACCGACCGGCTGTGAAATGACGTTAAGCAAATTCTGCTTTGGGATTGCCAACAATTTTGAAAAACAATGTCTGTATAAAGCAAATAATTGATTTAAAATAAGAATTTGTCATTATTGTTCCTTATTTGTTTCCTTCTTTTTCTCGATTTTTCATTATCTTTCATTATTTTGTTCATTTTTGTTCTCTATTTTTCATTATTGGTTTCCTTCTTTTTCTCTATTTGGTTCCTTTTTTTTTTATTTTTCAGTAGTTTTTCATTATTTTTCTCTATTTTTCATTTTATTCATTATTTGTTCCTTTTGCTTCTTTATTTTTCATTATTTTTCATTATGTGTTTCCTTCTTTGGTTGGATTTTTCATTATTTTTCATTATTTTCTTCATTATTTTTCTCTATTGCTCATTATTTTCCATTATTTGTTTCCTTCTTTTTCTCTATTTGTCATTATGTGTCATTAGTGTTTTCCTTTTTTCTCTATTGTTGGATTAATTTTCAATATGAGTTCCTTCTTTTTCTTTTATTTTTCATTAATGTTGAATATGTGTTTCCTTCTTTTTCTCTATTTTTCATTAGTTGTTTCCTTCTTTTTATCGTTTCTTCATTTTTTCATGTGTTTTCATTATTTTTCTCTATTTTTCATTATGTGTCATTTTTTCACGTTTTTTTCTATATTTTTCGTTATTTTGCATTATTGTGTTCCTTTTTTTCTCTTTTTTCTTTATTTTTCATTATGGTTTCTTTCTTTTTCTCTCTTTTCATTATTTTTCATTTTTTCATGGTTTCTGTATTTTTCATTATTATTCATTATTTGTGTCCTTCTGTTTCTCTATTTTTCTTTATTTTTCTTTATTTTTCATTTTTTGTTTCAGTATGTTTCTATTTTTCATTATTTTTATCATTCGTTTTGTCTTTTTTCATTGCTGTTCATTATTTTTCCTTCTGCTTTTAAATTTTCATTATTTGCCATTATTTGTTTCATTGTTTTCTCTATTTTTCATTTTTGGTGTCCTTCTTTTTCTCTATTTGTTTCCGTTTTTTCTATTGTTCATTAGTTTTTCATCCGTTTTCTCTAGCTTTCATTTTTTCATTATTTTTTTCATTCTGCTTCTTTATTTTTCATTATTTTTTCCTTTTTTCAATTGTTCTTTATTTTCATGTTTTTATTAGTTTTCTCTATTTTCAGTTTTGTCATTATTTCTTCTTTCTGTTTCTTTATTGTTCACTATTTTTTCTCCATGCTCCAATATTTTTCAGTATCTTTTCCTTGTTGTCCCTCTTTTTCATTATTTGTTCATTGTTTTTTTCTTTTGTTTCTCTATTGTTCATTATTTTTCCTATTTTTCATTACTGTGTTTTTTTCTTGTTCCCTATGGCTCATTATTTTTTATTATTTGTTGCTTCTTTTTCTTTATTTTTCATTATGTTTCATGATGTGTGTTTTATCTTGTTTCATTATTTTTCGTTTTTTCTCTATGTGCCATTAATTAGCATGTTTTTATTATGTTTCTCTATTTTTTATTTTATTTTTATTTTGTTTCACTTTTTTCTCTATGTTTCATTTTTTATTTTTTTTATTATTTGGTTCCTTCTTTTTTCCTATTTTTCATTATTTTTTCATGCTGTGGTTCCTTCTACTTCTCTATTGTTCATTATTTTGTTCCTTATTAATTATTATTTCTCTATTTTTTCATTGTTTTTCATTGGTTTTTCGTCTTTTTCTCTATTTTTCATGATGTTTCATTGTTTTTTCATTGTTTGTTTCGTTGTTTTTATTATATTTCATTTTCTCTATTTTTCAATATGTTTCATTATGTTTCATGTTCTTTCCTTATTGTTTCCTAGCGTTCATTATTTGTTGTTTTTGTCTTCCTTTTTTTTCCCCTCCATTTTTCAATATTTTTCATTATGGTTTCATTATTTGTCTCTATTGTTCATTATTTTTTTCATTTGTCCTTTTTTTTATTATTGTTCACTATGTTTTCCTTTTTTCTCTACTGTTCATTATTTTGTTCCTTTTTTCCTCTATGTTTCATTATTTGTCATTGTTTTTTCTCTGTATTTTTGTCTATTTTTCATTTTTTAGATTATTTTCTATATGTTTAATTTTTCCATGTTTTTCTATTTCTTATTGTGTTTCATTATTTTTCTCCTTCTGTTTCTCTCTTTTTCTCTCTTTTTCATTATTTGTTCATTATTTTTCTCTATTTTTCATGATTGTTCATTGTTTTAACTATTGCTTCTCTATTTTTCATTATCTTTCATTATGTTGTTATTGTTGTTCATTATGTTTCATTGGTTTTTCATTGTTCGTTTCACTGTTTTTCATTATATTTCATTGTGTTTTCATTGTTTTTCATTGTTTTAACTCTTGCTTCTCGTTTTTCATTATTTTTCATTATTATTTTATTGATGTTCATTATTTTTCATTGTTTTTTCATGGTTTTCATTATTGCTCATTGTTTTTGTTCATTGTTTTTCTGCATTTTTATTAATGTTTAATGTTTTTCATTGTTGTGTTCATTGTTTTTCATTTTTCTTTGTTGTTTTTTATGTTTCATTATCTTTCATTGTTTGTTCATTGTTTTTCACTCTTGTTAATTATGTTTCCTTGGTTTTTTCATTGTTTTTCCTCTATGTTTCATTATTTTCATTGTTTGTTCATTGTTGTTTTCATTGTTTGTCATTATTTTCATTGTTTTTTTCATTGTGGTTTCCTCTGTTTTCCTCTTTTTCATTGTTTTTCATTGTTTTTCCATTTTGCTCAGCATTTTTCATTGTTTTGCCATTGTTTGCTTCATTGCTTTTCATTATTTCATTTTTGTGTCATTGATTGTTCTTCTTTTCCCTATTGTTCATTATGTTTCATTGTTTTTTCATTGTTTGTTTTTGTTTTTCATTATATTTCACTGTTTTTTCATTGTTTTTCCTCTATTTTCCGCCATTGCTCATTGTCTTCCATTGTTTTTTCATTGTTGTTCATTATTTTCATTGTTTGTTCATTGTTTTTCATTGTTGTTTTCATTGTTGTTTTCATTGTTTTTCATTGTTTTCATTGTTTTTCATTATTGTTCACTATTTTGATCTATTTTTCATCAGTTTTCATTGTGTTTTTCATTTTTTGTGTCATTGTTTTTTAAAAAATGTTTATTGTTTTTCATGTTTTCCTCTTTTTTGTTCCATTATTTTTCATTGTTTTTCATTGCTGTCTTCATTGTTTTTCATTGTATTTCAATGTTTTTCCATCTATTTTCCAATATTTTCTATGGTTTTCATTGTGTTTCATGATTTTCTTTGTTGCTTTCATTGTTTTTGATTATGTTTCATTGTTTTTCCTTCTATTTGTCATTATTTTTCCTTGTTTTTTTTCATTGTGCAAAAGGGTTCATGTACATGACTGTGACATGCTGGACAGGTGAAGTATCTGTTCTTATCAGTGTGCACCACAACTCAACTAGCTTGACTGCTAGGCTCTTTTAGGATCAAAAGGCGCGCTGCTCTGCCTTGCACAGGTTATGAGCCCAACGCTCAGCTGAGGGGCGCCTGCCATGTCGTGGACTAGGTCGTGTTCGGTGCCACTTGGCAGAAGTGGACCTCGTGCTCTACGGCTGGATCAAGAAGGCCAAGAAGGGCATGGAAGAGACCGAGCTGGACATGATGGCAGAGACCTTCGGCGTGGAGATGACAGAGCTCTACCCAATGGCAGTGATGGTCAAGGTGGAGGACGAGCTCTACTACGAGGCGAACATGGAGGGGCTCTACGGCAAGAACTGGATGTGAGCACTGACCTGTTGGACTTAGGCACCGAGCCGAATCCGTGGTGGTCAGCCGGGGTTCAGCAAGAACACCTACGAGAAGCACGTCAGTTGGCCATGGAGCAGCCGATGTGGACGCCAAGGGAAGAGGTCTCAGTCAAGGAGGACCTTCCGGAGATAGAAGATGCAGACGCATCGCGAGAGTTGGAGCCGCTAGCAATGGGACGAATGAGTGCTCCGTCAAGTTGGAGTACAAGACGAGGTGTGGCCTTGCAGACTCAAGGGGCTATGCCATCAAATGATGATGAAGACCTTCGGTATCCTCAAGATGCTGGACAAGGTCGCCGTGAAGTACACCCTCAAGGTGTGGACCTTCGACATCCTCAAGATGTTGGACAAGGTGAACATGCAGGACACCCTCAAGGTGTCGATCAATTTGCACACTCTCAAGGTGTGGACCTTCGGTATCCTCAAGATGCTGGACAAGGTCAACGTGCTGGACACCCTCAAGGTGTCGAACAATGTGGACACCCTCAAGGTGTTAGACGTGATGGGCACCCTCAAGGTGTCGAGCAAGTTAGGCACCCTCAAGGTGTCGATCAAGTTAGGCACCCTCAAGGTGTCGATCAAGATGAACACCCTCAAGGTGTTGAACAAGTTGGGCACCATCGAGGTGTCGCGACAGGGCTACTTGCTGGAGAAGTGCAACGTTCTGGCAAGGGGCATGGTCAAGGAAGAGTTGTGCAGCCCAATGGGATGGGAGGTGAGATACCATCTCATGGGGTTGCAAGACAAGGTGGGAAGACTGGAGGACTGGGAGGTGAGATACCAGTTCAAAGGTCTGACATCATGCAAGAGGCTGGACACCATCGAGGAGTCAGCCGACATGGACCCTCAAGGTCTGAAGGAAATGTGCAAGAGACTGGACACCACCGAGGAGTCAGTCATGGTTATGGACCTGAACGACGTCAAGTTCAAGGTCATCGAACAGTACCAAGTGGTCTGCGAGATCAATCTCAAAGACGAGGTCATCGGCAAGATGATGGATCACCCTTGGAAAGAGTTCCAATGGGAGTGCAACAGTATGAGATGAGACGACAGATGCCACGTGAGGCAAGTCGGCAACCACAAGGTGGAGTACAAGGTTGTAGCACAACTA